TGTAAGGCTTATTCTTATTCGTTGTTATGAATACATGTTTATGTAAAGTTTTCTCGTGAAATGAATAAGCAACAGTTTTTAGTAGTGTTATAATTTAGGTCTCACTACGTTTCCTCCTTTTGATATGATTCGTGTATTCGGTTATTATTCACAGGAACTATGACCTTTAACAGTACGGAACGATTTTTTTATCTTTCCTTGAATAAATATGAATTTGTTTTGAATGTGTACAGGGGTGTTGAAAGGTGAATGGTGCCGGAGGGGGCGTGTAACGATGTGTGTGAAAGTATGTGGTGTTCAATACTTATTTGTTTCAGTTTGATTTGAAAGTGAACAATTGTAACCAATTCCCATGTTGAGTTTCCATCTCTACTTATTTCTGTAAATCTGCAAGTCTCTAATGTTTCTGCGGAGCTTACAGAAGTTACGATATTAATTTGACTATTATAATGTAATGTAACAGCCCACATCAGAAACACTGAACTTAGCGGTCGTATGGTTAGCATTCTTCCTACGTATTCTGGGGTCACGGGTTAAAATGTCTGTTCGGATACAGGCTAGCCATACTTATATTTTTCCTAAACAAGGTCAGTCAATTTTTTTAGATATTTATCGCTACTGTTGTTTGATTTTCCCACTCTTTGATTATTTTTTTCGATTCTCATGCATCACTCAAAGTGTTCAGCAGTAAGACGCGACCTAGTTCTTGATTTCGTGTTCTTCGTTAAGCTGAATAGTTGCTCACAGCGATAGTTACTGACATATACAGGGGTTGGTTTCTATTTATTCCGTTTAGTCAAATGCCAGGATAATAGTCCTACATTAAATTATGTCACGACAGCTACCTTCAACGCCCTTTCCAATCAATTATTAATTGATCATCCTGTTTATGTTCGATAAAATCTGGGAATCGACAGTATCGTTGAATGTATCATAAATTACCAGAAACTCAGACGAGGGAAACTCCACAAGAAATAATGTTTCTGTTTGAGTCCTGTAGAATAAATTCCGGTCCTAAAATAAAGAATCATATTCTGGACTATGCCTTGTCAGTTACATCTGAATAGCGTTGACATTGTTCCTGGAAAATAAATGTGTCAACTCTCACTTCATTCTAAATCTACTGTTGGATGGTATAAAATACGAGATGTGTGCCAATCCTGAAAACAAGACGTTTTAGACAACAGAAAGAAATTAATATCGTATTACTCACTAGAACCCTTTTATATGATTTTAAGTTACTTGAATTCAGAAATACTGAGAACCATACAGGTACAAATCACATTAATTTTCATCTTCAGTTTTCAACAAGAAAATAAACTTATTTTTAATTACAGATAACTGTGTAATAAATATACCTGCTAAATAGTAAATACTACTTAAATGCAATTTATTTACCATAATAGAGGCATAATAATTAAAAATATTTTACATAAAATTGCAACTGACAAGTCTGTCATAAATCTAAGTTTTAGTTCTGCACGTCAGAACAACAAGAAATTTTCACATGAACGTTGATGCGGAAAAGCCTTGTTTTCTAGTTACAGCCTTTTTTACCTTTCCGAAATTTTCGACACGGCATGATAATCTCGTTACTTCCGCTTTGAGCTGTGAGTGACCCCGGCCAGGGGGCAAGACGGAAAGATGAGTGTACCAAGGCCGCACTGCGCAGTCACGTACGTACACTTCAGTTGGTTCATAACGTACGAAGAGCGCACGTGTTCCCTCTACATTACAGTCTTGTTTAATTAATGGTATCCATAATCAACGTTAAGAATTCTTATGCCAGTCATTGTTTAAACATTAAATCAGTTCGTACTTAAAAGTTTGTTAAAATTGAAGGAAATTTAAGGGATGCATTCCTTTTATCGGTGATCCAAATTCAAACATTAAGGCCAGACACCCGGTAAAGTAATCCCTAACAGCTTGTTCCAAATACTGTATTTGTCTCGAGTCTTTGTATGAAGTTTCTATGTAAGATTTGAGGTTTTCACGGCGGTGAGTCTGAAGATTTATGTCTTTTGCTTTGTTACGCCTTGTAGTTTGGTAGATGCCCATCAATGTTTCGAGGATTGGATCTGCCCTCTTCGTCATGTGTGACTGAGATTAGCTCCTTCTAATGGACCCCACTGAGGAGGTGCCCCTTCACCAGACCTGAAGATGAGGACAAATCCTGTCCTCGAAACGTTGTGTAATTTTTCAACATGTGGCGATGGACAAGGTCCACAAACCCAGCAATCCAGATTGTCTTAGACTATCGTCAGATTTCTTCAGAATAAATTTCCTTGTAGTGTAATACTAGGCGTTTTTCATAACTGTTTTTAATTAAAGGAATATTGTACAAAACTTTGAGACATCGGTTTCCAGCCATTTACAGATCGTGAACTGTATTCACCGTTTACTTTATTGATTCGTTGGATTCAAGGCTATAAATAAAGACAACCTATTTAAACGTTGTAGCATTTGGATTAAAAATACTAATAAATTAGGATTACTATTACGAGTAAGTGCACATATTACTCAATTATTTTATTTAGAATATTAAGTAATTTGTGACATATTTGGCAATACTGTTGAGTAACCAGAGATTTCAGTATCAGGATTTACATTATTGTTTCGTGATTCTCCAAACATTCGTCAGTGAGTCGCGTCCTAGTTCTTGAGAGGGCGTTCTTCGTTAACCTAGACGCTTACTTACAGCGATAGTTACTGACGGGAATTAAAATATGTATTTCCTAATGTTAGGCAGTTACTGTTTATCATGCAAGATAGTACAAAATAATGTAGGCGGGGCCATACGAAACATGTCTTCCTTAAGAAGATAAATGTTTCACGGGTGTTCTAAAATTGTCTCTGAAGATCAGCTGCGCCAATGCTTAGTCAAATGCCAACGTTCGAAGACTAGCTCTGTTTTCATTATCAGGATAAGGTTGGAGAATTGCTAAATTCGCTGATTTATCAGTCGGTCTTAGCAGTGCCACTTGCTTACTGGCGTGTTTTGTGAGGGGTGGCCAGTCCTCTCGCTTGGGGCACATTGTCATGCCGCTTAACCTGGAGCAAGGTCTACTGACTCTTGTCCTATATTTGCCAAGGCTGATCGCACGATAAAAAATTGTAACACGTGTCGTGGAAGTTTTAAATCTTGCATATTTTGTGGATATTTTATAAGCAAATCAAAGTAGTTTATAATTTAATTCTTGAGTAAATGTAAAATAATTGGCATAAAAGGGAAATAAATATTTTCTACCAATATATTAAAATAGTCTTAAATAATCACTTAAGCATGAAAGACAGCCTTTTCCACATTTATATATTAGTTTATAAATGAGTTTGTCATTCATGATGATGACAGTTCAGTAACTGAAGGTAAATTCTTCATTGAAGAACTGTTATACTTTTCCATAAAAAGTTGCTGTTCTCTGTTTTGATATCTCGTGATATCTCTGTCATATGCTACTGCGGGGGGTGGAGGTTGGACTGGCGAGGGGCTGGGAGAGTGAGGGGGGTGTCAACACAGATCGATGGCCTCCCTCTGTGTGCTGCATGGCATTATGGGTAAATGGCAAGGCCAGTTCTCTGGCCACGTAGAATACAAACAAAATTCTTTATTTAGCAAATGTTAAACCCTGTAATTTTGTTTGAGGATGGTCAGGTTCGTTATTGCTTCTTTTTTTATAATGTGGCTTTGTTCTGGATTATGATACATAATTTGGAAAGGAACGTCGCTGCTATAGGGAGTTCGAGAATTAATTATATTTTATAAGTTAATATGCCCATAGAATCGTGATGAAAACGTATGAAATTAAGGACACAGTAAATAATTGAAAACTTGATTTATAACGAAGATCTACCTGCATAAATGATTATACTCTCTTACAACCATAAGAGTGCGTGATAGTGTCTATTACTGAGACAAAGGGAGAACAACTATCATTGTATCGTAAATTTGATATAAATTCATACTTTCTCATAAACGTATTTTACAGCTGCACACGTAATTCTATAATATACCCAAATTTCAAGTATAGTAATATTGAGTCAGAACAAATGCATAAAATATAAATATACGGTTTAATCGATTTATTAATTGCTTTAATATTCATATAATATCGACTATATGTATTATGTAAAATGTGTTCATGGATGTGGTTGTTGACGTCTGGTTTTATGTTTCAACCAAGAATTAAAATATTTTAATAAAATTTGTAAAAATTATTTTATTATTATAAAGTGTAATTATCACCACAATTCGTAATTAAAAATATAAAATTTGGTATTACGTGTGAAGGAGATCCACAGAAAATTCACTGATTTATGCAACTGTAAACAATACGATGAAAAAACTTTCTTTGAACGTCAAAGATATATCTAATTTTGCGTCTTCTGTGCAATATGACACTATGATCGGGAAATACAATCAGGGTTACTAATTTTTGGAAAAATGTTTATCACATTTAATGTTAATAGTAGTATATACTCAAAACTGAAAGGAGCTTAATTTTTACAAAATACAAAACACTTTATAAATTTCAACATCCAAACTTAGTTTGATGATCGATTATCTGGCATTTAGATAAATGAACAGGAAGTACAACAGCAATTAATTTTGTCAGAAGCAATTGTTTATAATGTTTGAATTTAAACTTGGTGAATTTTTGTATAGGTTGGTACACCTGAGAGTCATTCAACAGGAAAGGAAGGTACGTTCAATGATAGTAGTTAGCAGGTGGGGAACAAGTGATCAGGATACCAGCTACAGATAAAGTGTAGACCATTTTCTATCTGTGTTGGAACTTTATTAAAGTTTCGCTTTGAAATTAAAGTTGTAGTTTTGTAGAAGTTCTGAGAGAACAGAAAAGATTCTGGCTTTCCCCTTCAATCGATATGTGTTCTCGGCCGAAGGTTAGGATGGGAAAGAAGCAGAGTGCTCTGGGGGACACAAGATGAAGTACTGTACAGGGAAATTCTACTGAAACTACGTTTTATGTTGTGCTACTTACCAATTACGGCTGACGCCAAGTTGACGATCACCATCACTAACAGCGTGGACGTCGATGGCACCCCCTTTTACCCACACTTGAGGGGGCTGCTTTGCAGTAGAGTGTAGCAGCAATTCACGAGAACGCCAGTCTTGACGACCGTCTGCCTTCTGACTGGGCCCGGACTCTTGGATAGTATCCCCCCTCGTCAATCGATGCACAGACCATCCCTTTTCCACGAGAACAACGCAGACGCCAAAATACCTACCCCCACCCACCCTTATGTGCCCTATCTCCGTCTTTTACAATATGAAACCAACCCCCAATCCGCGTTCGAGATACTAAAATCTCTCGCACCGGCGCCCCGACCAGCCTCCCCCTCCCCCTCCAATTCTACCCCTAACTTTTTATATTCCTTTTATTTTGGAACAGCCACCTCGTGGTAATTCGCATAGCTCTCCCATCGATTAGTCGAGATAGTGCTGAAAGGCGCATGTGCAGTGAGAGATTGTTTCCCTCCCCTCTAAATTCGCGCCCCCTTCCCCGCTTCAGCTCTCACCCACTGATCACCCCTTCCCCACAAACACACACACACACATACACTATCTCAGCACCATTTCCAGATCTCCCTCCCACTCCTGCCAGGTTCGTGATTGCAGCCCAGGTCTCGCTTTCCTCATATCGAGATATATCGATATCTACCATGTATGTGAAATAACTGTATGTAATCGATTCTTTGTATTACTGAATTATAATTTGTTAAAATATTTTGTGGAGATATGGTTTTTTTCCTGCCGATCTGTGAAGGTAGAAGACACTGTAATTATATACTTGGAATCCACATATTAAGAAAACTAAAGCTACGAGTTAAACAACGAACAAATAAAGAATATTCCATACTTCGATATACTGCACAAATTAAACGTTATTGTCGATATTGCTTACTTTTTAGTTTAAAATTATGCACCACTTAATTATGGTACTTCAGTTTTTATAAGATTGAAATTAATACAAACATGAATAAGAGTACAATATTTATTTTAAAGTTGACTTGAAGGAGTTAGGTTAAACTCTCTTAGAAGAAACCTCGTTTTTTATACGAAGTGTTACTAATCTAAAATGACAATTTACCGCATTAAGTCTGAGCATGTAGCCACTCGTATTTTAAGGTACTGCGCGAGGCTAGTTTATACTCTTGGGAATTAAACATTTTAAGAAAATATATAAACTTTATAAAAATAGGTTGAAAAAAGTCACACTTTATTGAACCAGAATTTTTTTATGGTTGCCACAATAGCCCTGACCCGAGTTTGTATACTTGCAGCCTGTTTAAGAATTGAGATCCTCTCGGCTGTGAAGATGTCGATGTTGATCTTCAGGACTGAATAAGGAGACGCTGTATTTGTCCTGAACGCTGGTATTTACCTGCAGTTCTACAGAATTTTGCTATGTAGAACAATGACATAGACATTACACCTTATTTAATTAGAATTAATGTTATTATTCTCTCCTCTATGCCTAGGTCTCCCAAGTAGCTTCTCTCCTTAAGAATTTTCAACTAAAATGTTTTATATATTTATTATAAAACTATGCTTACTACATATCCCGCCCACCACATCCTCCTTAATGTTAACCCCCGGTATTATGTGGTGATGACTATTACATGTGAAGCTCCTCATTGAGTAATTGTCTCCATTATCTTGTTACTTTTCTCTTGAAAACAAATATTATTCTCATCACTCTGTTCTCAAACAATAGTGTTCTGTGTCCATGCTCTAGGGTGAGGGACCAAGTTTCATGCCTATGTTTTATAATATTCTAATATTTGTTTTTCAATATTCGTATTTTTTCTTTTATTATAATATGTACGTGATCTAATATTGTAAGGTGTGTTTCTAATGTTCTAATATTTGTTTCTATCATTATCATAGTTTCTAACATTCTAACATTTGTTTTCTAATGTGCATGTTTATAATATTCGATATTTATGTTTCGTAATATTCTAACATGTGCTTCTAATGTTCTGGTATAACTTTCTAATGTTCTAGTATTTATGTTTTTCAATATCCTGATATTTTTCCCTTTGTTCTAATATTTTAATTTATGTTTATAATATTCTAATAATTATTTTTCTAATGCAAATGTTTATAATATTATGATATTTATTTTTTTCTAATATTCTAACGTTTTTGTTTTCGGGTCGGAGACGGGGACGGAAAGACAATAGCTTTGAATTGAGTGGTAGCAATCATTTCTTGTTCAAAATGTCTTGAATACATTATAGGCAACTTGTTACCAGTGGAATAA